GTGTGTGCGTGCATGCGAGTGTGTGCGTGCGTGCGAGTGTGTGCGTGTGTGTGTGCGAGTGTGTATGTGTGTGTGTGTGTGTGTGTGTGCTCATAAATCACAGTAAACTTCATCAGAGCCGTGAGACTGATGTTTGGCAGGTTCCTCGGGTCCTGCTCCAAACACACACTGGAGTCTGAAGATCAAAGAAAACAAACTCCAAACGCTCCAGATTCTCCTCCAGAGCCTCATCCTCGGTTTATTACACTGAGACCCGGCTCACCTTCACTGGGAATGACTGGAGCTCTCCAGCACACATTAGAAAGCTTCCGGAGATTGTCCTCGCGTATTTGGGGACCTCATTATATCTGAAGAGTTTGGTGAAATTATAGAGAAGACGAGCCTGCAGAATTACTCTCAGACCGAGCAGAGATCGACTTCACTGCGAAAAATCATGCTCTTCATCAGTACTTCTGTCTGGTGTTCCAGTATAAATATCTAAACGTCTTAACTTGATGACTTTATGCTTAAAACAAGAGACAAAATGTCTACCAATGGAGTGTGAAAAATAATCTTGTTTTCCCTTTATATTACTGTAAATAGGTTTTTCTGACTCCATTGACAGATATTTGTTCTTGTTTTAGGTGTAAACATACAGTAAGTGATACATTTTTCAGAAAACAAGACTTATCGTAAGCAGGGTTTGTGCAAGCCTTAATTCATGTTTTTGACAAATTAGACTCTAAAAAGGTCTTAAATCAGTATTAAGGAGGAAGTATTAAGTTTTAAATTAAATGTTAAATGTTGCATTCACTGCAAAAATGAATGATCTTCTTAGTATTTTGTTTTCTAGTGCAAATATATAAACATCCTTAAATCAAGAATGAAGACATGAAGTCTTGTTTTCTGAGAAACTGAACAAAATGAAGTGAGTTTTTAATTAAAACAAGAACAAATATCTGTCCGTGAGGAATGAAAACTTTATTATTATTATTATTTGAATGAAGTTGATTTTTCTGAGGCCAGTGACAGATATTTGTTCTTGTTTTGGTCAAAAACTCACTTCATTTTGATCAGTTTCTCAGAAAGCAAGACTTCTTATTTTGTCATTTTGCTTCTCAGGTAAAACCATATTGATGTATTGTGTCCAATTCAATCAAACGTGCAGAAACCTGGTTAAGTCATTTTACATCTCATGCAAACATCCTTAAATCAAGATACATTTATTTGAGAGGCAAAATAACATCAGATATTTGTTCAGAACAAAAAATTTGAAAAATCAGAAAAATATCTGACCTCACTTTCTAATATTTGTTCTAGTTTAAAGCTTTAACTCACTTTATTTTAATACATTTCTCAGAAAATAACTCTTGATATCTTAATATCATTTTGCGTCTCCAGTAAATGTATTTTGATTTAAGAATCTTTAGACATCTGTGCTGGAAAATGACAAAGACACAGAGGAAGAGCATCACTTTTTACAATGTTGCAAAAGTAGCTGTAGTTTCACCATGTTTAAGAGGCATTTCACCCTGTTACTGTGGTAAAGTTAGTGCGCAAGTGATTTAGCGCCTTTTTCAACATATGATGATGACATAACAGATGTGTGTTGTGATGTGTGTGCACTCTCAGAACAAAATCACTGCGGTGTCACCTTTTCAAAAGATACACATTAGTACCTTATTAGTGCTTTTTTAGTACCAAGACACATATTAGTGCCTAAAGTATATACATATTAGTACATATACATACGTGTGTGTGTGTGTGTGTGTGTGTGAGTGTGTGAGTGTGTGTGTGCATTGACATGAGCAGCCTGAACGGTGAGAATGATCTTATATGAGCAGAACATCACAGCTGTTACTGTAAACACACGTACAGTAAACATCTAAACACTAAAACAATGCTGCTGAACACAAATATGCAATGCTATTTTCAACATGCAATCGCAACATGAAATCAAGGTCAACTCTGAGTTTACTGACTGTGTTAATTAATGTTCCTGATCTTAATGTGAATGATTCATCAGTGACAAAATTCTGAAGAAATAATGTCTTTAGAATCTTTCATCAGTAACTTCCTCCACCTGAGAAATGACTTTCCTCTTTATCTGTAGTTCAGTCTGTGCTCTGAATCTTCTGCTCGTTTCATTTGCTGTTTAGCTCAGAAATACACAGTCAGAAAGATGTTTAACTGTTTCTGGAAGAAATTAATGCTTTTATTCATCAAGGATGCATTAAATTGATCAAAAGTAACAGTAAAGACATTTATAGTGATTCTATTTCAAACAAATGCTGTTCTTTTGAACTTTCTGTTCATCTGTGAATCCTGAGAAATAAAATGTATCACAGTTTCCACAAAAATTGAACTGTGTTCAACATTGATAATAATCAGAAATGTTTCTTGAGCAGCAAATCAGCATATTAGAATGATTTCTGAAGATCATGTGACACTGAAGACTGGAGTAATGATGCTGAAAATACAGCTGCGCATCACGGAAATACATTACAGTTTAACAGATATTCACACAGAAAACAGCTGTTTTACATTCTAATAATATTTCATATTTTTTCTGTACGTTTGATCAAATAAATGCAGCCTTGGTGAGCAGAAGACACTTCTTTCAAAAACTGACCCCAATCTTTTAATAGTGTTAGCATATAGAATATTTGAGGCATAAACAGACATATTTTTACAAATAAATAAATAAACAAATGCGTTTCAAAAGACATAAATACACAAAGTACAAATATTAAACATTAGGGCATGTGTATGTGTGAATGTGTGTGACCAAGGCAGTGTAAAATATTAATTTGCGTACGCAATAAAGCGTAAAATAAACAGTGAAATAATTACCCTTTTAACAGTCATAATCACAGTAAACTCGTATTAATTCCTCGTTTGAATTCTAAAGCTCAGTCGCCTGTGGACTGATTATAATTGCCAAGCAACATGATGATTAGAGATTATCTATAAACATGATCAATTCAGACATGTAGTGTGTTTTCACACATGGCTTGTGTTTTAAAGCCACAGTTCACCCAAAAATGAAAATTCTGTCATTATTTACTCACCTTTTTTCTGTTATTGCACCTAAAATGTAGAATAGCCTTCCGTTATGCGTTAGAACTGCTCAAACACTTTCTGATTTTAAATTCAAGTTAAAAACTAATTTGTTTTCTTTAGCTTTTAATGTATTGAAGAGATTAATATAATCTCTTTTATTGTTTGTCTTGTCTCGAATGTTGTTATACTTGTATCAATGTAAAGCACTTTGGTCAACTCTGTTGTTTTAAATTGTGCTCTAGAAATAAACAAAAGAGGAAATTTTGAAGAATATTTGTGACCAGACAGATGACAGTAGCCACTGACTTCCGTAATATTTTTGTCTTACTATGGAGGTCACAAATATTATTCAAAATATCTTCTTTTGTCCTCAACAGAAGAATGAACTCACACAGGTTTGGAAGGACATGAGGGAGAGTAAATTATGATGAAAATGAACCGTACCTTTAAGCGACTGAACATGATGTGGGTGAAGCAGCACTGATTTTAATCAAAATATCTCATTTATCTGAAGTGCTGATGAACACAGGGGACCAAACCGACACACACACACACTCACTTACACACACACACACACACACACACACACACACACATACACTCACACACACATACTTGTATTTGTTGTTTACGGGGACTCTCCATAGGCGTAATGGTTTTTATACTGTACAAACTGTATATTCTATTGCCCTACACCAACCCTACACCTACCT